CTCTTGACCTCGTGATCCACCCACCTTGGCCTCCCAAAGTGCTGGGATTACAGGCTTGAGCCACCGCGCCTGGCCCTACAACCACATTCTTAAAATCCACTAGAAGATAAGCTCCCTGAGGGCAGGCACTCTACTGTTTTCCACTGCCATATAACCAGTCTAGAAGAGAGCCTGGCACAGAGTAGGCACTTAATATATATTCACTGAATGGGGGAAAAAAGAGGAAATAATAGAAGAAAAACAAAGCACTAATATAGAATAAAAGTTATAAAAGTAGAAACATGAGCATAAAAGCAGACAGAATGTAGTTTATGTTGTAGTAGAATGTTCAATGGACTCTGTGGACAAGTTATATTCCTGGTTCTCAGGGGCATCTAAACAAGTCATAACTTTTTATAGTTTGGTTTTTCAATCTATAAAATACCTCTTCCTTCATGCTTTAAAAGGATACTGCGAAGAGTTGTTAAAAGGAAGAGGGAAGGAATAAGAACACAGATGTATGGTTTGGAACATAATTTTCTGGAGTACAGAAATGCTGAGGACCAAAACCAGAGACACTGGCATCAAGCACACTAAAGAAAAAAGAGGAAGAGATCAAGAAGAAGGCAAAATTTTGATTTAATTGTGTCATTAAGAAACTGGTATACTGGTCATTGGCTAGACTGTTTTTTCTATGTTTGGAATATATGAAAGTGCCATTCAGCATTAAAATGCAATAAATAAAGTTAAAAGTTAAATAAAGATTGTTGAAATTGTTTTGATATCTTAGGATGGAATGAAATTCTGACATATAAAGCTAAAATGGCATAATTACAAAAATGAAAAAGATTCAACATGTAATTGGGAAGGTAGGAAGGAAAGGAGAGAAGACCGAGTTGGATATCACAAAGGAAGAGAGAAGAAAAATCAAAATGGGCTATGAAGAAAAGAGGTGAGCCATAGAGCCATCTCTTCTATATTAGGGAAGAACTCACCCTAAGCAACCTATGCCGTTTTCAGAAACAACTTGAACACTGTATGGATGATCAAATAATAAGGGAAGAGACCACCATGACTGAAAATTTAATAAGAGCAAAACAGGAAGGCAAGAAAAAAAATTAATTTTAATAATATGCACTACACACACACCTAAACAGTGGTCCCATTTAAAGTACTTCCCTAATTCACAGTCAGATGCTACGTTAGTCTCTAGCTTCAACTCTCTGCAATAAGGATACGATGATAGAAGAAAACAGTGGAGTGTGTGTGTGTGTGTGTGTGTGTGTGTGTGTGTGTGTGTAATTCTGAACAACAGAGACATTTTCTAATACTTTGGATTTTGCCACATTTTTCAGTTTAGCGAATTTTAATTAAGGAATTCACTAGGCATTTCTGAGCCTGGATTTCTTCACTGGTAAATTTATAAAAGTATTCAGTTCCACTCAAAGATCTCTCAGTATCTTTCAGTTTTTAGTATTTTAGGCTGGAAACGACTACAATTAAAGTGGGGAGAAGTTATTTGAAATCACTGTTCTGAAATACCTACAAACATAGTTACCAAGAACTAGAAGAAAGATCCATTAGAATTTAAATGAATGGAATTTTTAAACAGAAGGAAAGAAATCCTATGGTATATTCAATTCATCATGTTGATCTTTTGCAAATGGTTACTGATTCTTATTGTCATTGTGGTAAAAATGGTTTGTCATACAACCCCATAATAAGACTTAAGACAAAGCAAAACGAAGTTGGCCCAAGATGAAAATACCAACACATTCTTGCATCCAAGAATCTGTTGTCAAGCAGGGAGGATCTCACATCCAGAAAACATTTTCTTTCAAGATGGTCCACTGTTTCCTGGCTGAGATTTAATTAATCAATTAATCAGCTCTTTTTATGATAATCTATGTTTGCAATCTCCCAACAGTCAGGGTAGGAAAAATTTGAAAGCCTAGGCAAAGAAAACAAATGAATGGTGCAAGTATTATGTGACTCACTGAAAAGCAAAAACTTAATTAGTGTCATGACAATATAATCATTGTGGTAGTGGGAAACCATTAGCCATATTTAGAAATACTTTAGAATAAAAAATATATACTTATATACTTTCATTCTAGTTCTGCCTTGGACTTCTTAACCTACATGAATTTATGAACTAATATAATGAAAACATGAAATTATATTACTTTATGAAAGAAATACCCATTTTAGAAAATCCGACATAGCCAATCTACCTAAAGGCAATTTAAAATATCATATTTTGCTTTTTATTATAATAAAGATAAAGAATGTTGTAATTTGACAAGAGTCAGTGAGGGGGTAATTCTAGTATTTATAAAATAAAACTCTAATACTAGTAGGTAGATTGGTTTGAGGAGCAACGCTGCAGACACAATTACTGGGATTGTCTCTCTTCTACTCTCTCAGGCTCCAGGATAAAGAAGAATCAATTAGCCCTCAACAGTCTATGACCTTGAAGGCTACAGCTCTGTGCATAATGCGCTGAATATGCTGAGACAGAAAAAAAAAATGGAAAAGGGAGAATAAAGTCCTAAAATCACTGAAGAGCATGTTTCACATATGATAATGTCATTTTCAAATATAAGCCATGACAGCTTAGTTTATGTCAAAAACATGCATGGTAAAAGGAACGTCCCAGTTCTTTCTGTGACTAAACAATACTTTCTTAGTTGGAAAATGCAATCCCTTTGTAAGCTTTTTTTTTTTTCTTTTCATTAATTAATGGTTACAATCTTTTTAAACAACAACAAAAACCACCACTCACAAGTCTTTAAAAACAAAGCTGCCTGAACCAATCCCTTTCAAACACTACTTTCCTCCCAATTCCCCCCTCCAACCAAAAAAAAGTAGGCTCACAATTTTGGGGATACTAGACTTGATTTTTTTAAAAGACTAGTCCAAAAATTAACAGAGTTTCCTTATAGGTTGTAAAGTGTTAACCAACCAACTGTCTGCTAACTTTTCCGGAGAAAACTACTTCCCAGACTGCTTCTCTAGGCTTATCTCTGATGCATTTCAAAATATTGCAGCTGTGCATCTGGTCAAACTGGCCACAAAGATGCTTTTAGGCAGCAGTAAATCTTTCCCACTTATTGCAAATGCCACAATATCAATGCCCTGGCTTGGGGAAAAGAAACTGATGTGAAATAAGTAATCTATGAAAACACTTAGTAGAAAAATTTACCTTACAAAATAATTTCTCAAAACTTCACAACATACTTTCTGACATGGTCTCAGATCAGGAAAATGTGCTGGATGTTTCTTTGTTTGCCTGATTTCCTCAGTGAACAAAATTATAGAATTTAGTTGAAGTGTTTTTCAAAGGGAATTTTTTTCTTTTGCTGGGCAATGAAACCTGTTCAAGCAGGTTTCAATTAAAGACTTAAGTTTAAAATGATCAAGTAACCTTGTCCTCCTGGTGAATTTCACTTCGCTTTGCAGGAACTGTACTTGCTTTTTATAGCTTGTCATTTCATCTGGGTATTATTTCCCGGTCACTTTGCCAGGTGGGAAGAGGCAGCAAAGGCAGCAATGTCTGTCAGACCTTTAATGATGCTTCAGGGATTTGATAAAGATACAAAGCAGTGTCTACATGAAGGTGGTTCTCCCTGACTTCACCTAGAAAAAAGCCTCTTTTTTTTTTTTTTTTTTTAAATCTTTGCCACTGAATCTGGTGTAAGTGAAATGATTGGGAATCACAAGGACAAATCAAGTTTTTCTCTATTTCTATAGCATGCTGCACTACTTCATACTGAACATGATGTCTGGAAAAGGTATTCTTTATTCTTCATTATTGTCCAGAGGAAAAACATAAGAGGCATTTCAACAGAGAAATTGTCAACTCTCTTTTAACCCTAAGAGCTTTCATGCAAGTTATTAAGAAACAAATTTTCTGATCTTGTACTTTTTTAAGTAAATATTCATTATGGTAAAAAGTGATAGGAGACAGAGACAACAAAAATAAACTAGAAACATTTATAAAAGGCTATAGAAAACTCCTCCCTCCTATATTGATGTTTAGAACAGTCATGTTTTCATTCCTGTCAACTTTCCACTCTAAAGCTATTGCAATTACCCAGTGCAAAGAGGAATGTATTGTTTTTAAGAGAGTGAGCTCTCTACACATCACAGGTTATTAAACCAGGCTGCTGCAATCTGCCAGCCTAAGATGACACATGTCTAAAAAAAAAAAAGAAAAAAAGAGGATGTACCTCACTAATGGATCTTGTACTTTTTAATGAGTGCCAAGGAAGCTATTTAAACATTTGATTATAGAGGACAAAACTAATTTGGGAAAATCTTTCATGTAGAATCCTACTGTGTCCTGAACAAAATAAAGCTGCCACTAATCAGTGGTCACTACCCGAAAGTACAATCTGGGCAGGACAGCAGTTCTGCTAGTGAGAGGCGACCAGCGTAAACATCTTAAGACTTGCTGTAATCTCAGAAAGAATCAATTAAGATACAAGAGTAGGGAGAAGTGGTTAGCGAACAGGAAGAAGAGAGAAAGATGAGGCAGCTTGGGGTCGCTGTGAAACAGAGGGTAACGTAAAGGTGATAGGAAATCTATGATGGGGAAGAGAAAGACACAAAATATTACTCACTGGTGTATGAAAATCACATTTCTGTAAGACATAAAAGAAGACCTGATGTTTTCATTTTAAAATGTGTTAGAAATAAATTGAATTTAACTTAAATTCAAGCATGACTTGCAGATGCTGAAGTTTTGCGTTGCCGGGACCAGACTGAACAATGTGACTAGAGACAGCCGCTGTTACGGCACTGGTTCAGAACCAGAGTTAGCAAGATCGTTTTACTCAACCCTTCAAGGCCCTCCCAAGCATCTCAAACACCTGCTTTGCTTAAACAACACCAGGCAACTAAAATGCAGGAAGAAAGGGAAACAGCCTCTAGACGACACCTTTTGGGACCTCAAACCCACCCGTTTCCTTTATTCAACATCATCATCATCATCATCATCATCTCTCTCTCTTACTTACAAAGTTTAGGAGCAGTTTGGAGATTAGTTTCTGTTGTTTGTGGCTGAGTTGCTGACTTGGGTGTTCTCACCTCAGGGTTCCGGGTGGGTGCAGGGAAGGATGGTGCAGTGGAAGGCAAGAAAGAAAAGGCAAAAATACGATTCTTCGGTGTTGATGCCACTGACGGTTCAGAGGAGACAACAGCCTTGTCAATTTGCACTGTAACTTGAACCTTACTTTCAGATTGAGCCCTAGAGACAGGTGAAGTGTATGCCTCCGACGACACCCACACAGCTGAGGCAGCAGTTGGGTCCAGAGAAATAATAGGGTCCTGGCCTAACCCCCCCGGGTCAAGGTGAGTAGGAGAGTCATACTCAAAGATCTTGTCCACAAATACCCACTTGAGGCCGGCGATGCAGAGGCAGAGGCTGACCAGGCAAGCCAGGATGGGGACAATGCAGATTTTCTCTGAGTTCAGGCAACCTCTCAGGCGCTCAGCTTCCAGGCACACACAGCAGGACACAGCCAGGCCCACAAGTCCAGGGGTTCTCCCATCTTCAGTCTGGGGTTCTGGCATGTCTTCTGCTGCCGGAAGCCCATCAAGAGATGGGTCTGCGCTCAGCTGAGTGGAGGGGCTGGAGGACCTCTCGGCGGCGACCTCAGACATATCTGGGGAATAAATCTCCATGGGCTCACCTCCAGAAGAAGGCCTGGCCGCTCTCACGGTCCATTACCACGCAGAGGCCCCCCCAACCAAATGATACAGCATCTTACAGGGGGAAATCGATAAACTGTCCAAGTCCAAGGCCATTATAAAAATCAAGAAGAGTTTGGGAAGATGCAAGGGGGGAAGAAAAGCTCTCAGCAACTACAAAATCAAAGTATATCTTAATAATTCTCTAAGCTGCTGTTTCTGAGCCACTTTTCGAGTTCTTTTAAATGCTTCTCCAAACCATCCCGGGCTGGTCAAGAGGACAGGGACCAAAATAGATCGACGGAGCTGCCCACTGGTGAATTAAGTAAACCAGTAGCCCAAACTGAAAGGCATGTTTCTCACCTCGAGCATCTGAAGCTGGTGTCTGCTCAGATGAAGAAAACAACTGTCATGCAGGAGAAGTAACAGCAGGAGGAGGACCAGCGGCGGCGGCGGCAGCAGCGGCGGCGGCAGGAGAGGCAGCAGTGACAATAGCAACAGCATCCTGTTGTGTTAGCGCGACGACGGCTGAAAGGGGCTGAATCATTACAGAGCAGCAGGTGCCTGCCCTCGGAGCATCACTGCAAACACCAAGGGCTGGGGAGGCAAGAGTGCGGCCAGGAGGGGCGGTCACTCCCTTCCCCGCCCTGCCTCCACCCACCCCCGGCTACTCCTCTTTGTCCTTCTTGAGTGCTCATTCACTTTCTTCCTCTGCGGCTCTTCTCTGCTTCAGTCTCTTTCTCTTTCTTTCCCCTCTTCATCCAAGCCCGTCCTCTCTCCTCTCTCTTTCCTCCCCCTCTACCAACCCCCACTCTTCACTCTCTATCCACTCTAGAGCTGCAGGCTGGTCTGAGTAAAATCAGTATCCCAGCCGCACAGGACCACCACTGACTTCCTATTTTATCCAATTAGAAGGAATAAAGGCCATCAAATCAAAGAGAGGCAGGCAGGCATCAGTTAAGCCTAGTCCCCATGGCCCCCACCCGTTTTCTTCTCTTTTTCTTTCTTTCTCTACAAAAGTGGTCCCAGTCTTCTTCCACCCCCACCTTGCCGGCTTTCAGGCTCTTTCCTTCACCCACTGTTGGGTTAGAAAAAGCCAGCGATCGATTCTAGCAATCTAACAAAGCTGGGATGGGGAGGGGGGTGGGGGGGTGTAGGTGGGACCTTCTGGGTTGGACCTGGGGCTTGGCGAAGTCTGATATCTGATTCCTCCCTAGAGAGGTAAGCTTTTCAACAGCAATTTCTTCCTGCCTGCTGCTGAGAGATAGCATTCCTTCTCTAGCCCTCTAATAAGTTTTGTTCACTAAGAGGACTGTTATTACCTGGTTTTCAACCAACAGTTCAAACATTTTTTTTTTTCCCTAACCATGGACAGCTCTGCCTTTTAGCCCTTTTTGCAATGACTATGTAAGACTTTGTCATGCCCAGGGAGAAATGCTGAGTACGTCTGGAGGGAGTGCTAGGGGAGCGGGTGGCAGCCCATATATCCTCTGCTGGGGTCCCCTTTGAATTTCCATTTCTTCTGTCTCACCCAAAGCAGACTAATGTCAAGCTAACTGATGTCAAGCTAATAGAAAGCACCGGTAAGCAGCAGAGTTATGATGGGAGCAAAGCTACCACTTCATTTTTAGATTAGCCTTTCATGGTGACTCCACACTGCAGAGGTTTGAATTCCCTGGCACTGTAATACATACCACATGTCCTCAATTATCACCGCACTGCAAGTACTAAGAAGAGTTTTCTATGAGAGCATGCCTTCTGGGTTAGGTTTCAGGAGCTTTACCTTCCAGATAGTTTCAATGCTGATTTTTTTTTCTTTTAAAACAACAGTCATTAAAACACCAGAAGAAATGCACTGTCCTTAATAGAGACCACAGGCTTCCCCAAGCACTCTGCTGCTTGTCACTGTACACAATATGCATCTGAACCTGAAATCCACACTTACTGTGACTGCACATCTAAACGGTTTCCAAGGAACCATTTTGTTCACCTATATCAACAGGGGTCTTTAAAACTCTCTCTAAATCTATACTACAGAGCCATCATATGGGTCCCTGAAGCAGTAAAATTTAGAACTCAAGTTCCAGGAAAATCCACTTTAAGCACATTATATTTTGTAGGGCACAATCTCCGCTGCTTTGAAGTATATTTCAGCTGTAAATGGCAGGAGATAAGAATATTATCACTTCTTCCTTTAAGATGAAATTAGTCCAAAATTATCAATGATTTAAAGGGTTTTAACATCTTAAACTGTGTTTGCAGTACTATCACTAACAACAAAAGCCTGCACCAATTTGCATAATTGTAACCATGGCTATGACAAGTTTATAGGCAACATGAGTTATCCTTAATTTCATCTCTCTATAACCTGCATTTACATACTAGTAAATGGTGTTTTAAAATAATTCCTGTGTTTATCTTCTAGGCTTATTTGATTTTAAAGCAGTGAGAACTCTCTTACAAAGATTCTAGCAAAGGATATACAATTTCAGTGTAGAAAATGTCTATAGAAGCATTTAAAGTATTCAAACTGAAAGATAGTAAGATTTCAATGACCAATATTCATGTAAATATTAAAAAAACAATATCAGCAGGTGTTTAGGCTAAACCAGGGTAATTTATAATTCCTTCCAAAAGCACCCAGTTGAAATATATGGCACTGAAGTCCTCAGTTTTGACCCAAACCAAAAATATTATACTCAATACACTGGCATTTCATCCAAGGCCAAGGTAACCTAAATTTCAAAGATCAAAATGGGGTTCATGTGGCCCCAAGTCAGGCAGATATGAGAAAATATCAAGAATGATAACCCATAGTTTAGAAAAGTGGTCTTTATTTTGCACCAATAGCAATTATTCACCTTACCTCAATCATTAAGAGCAAACATATTCAGCAGACCAAAAAAAAAAAAAAAAATGTTACTGGGCACTGTTGTAGCTGTTACACTGAAAATGCCCGACACTTGTAAAGAAAGCCAACATTTTATACAAAGACTAGGGCAAAACATCAGAGAGAGAATCCTATGGACTGCCACAAGTACTCTTTCCCTTGGACTACATAAACGAGACTTTGGGATGCGTCTGTTTTCCACCTGGAAAAAGATTCCAGGAAATCTGTGGCACCCTGGTGCTAAGATTAGTCACAGACAGCCAGCTTCCTATAAAATTATTATTTTTTTCCCACGAAATTAAAAAATGAACGTAACTGGGGAAAGAGAGAAGGATGGGAGGTAAAGAATAAAAGGAATTCTCCTTTCATTCTACCCTTGGGACTAGGACCCGAAGTTGCCTTTCTCCCTTTATCAAATCCCCTATAGCAATAAAAGAGTGAGAAAGGAAAGTGTGAATGGGGTCAGAGGTAAGAATTTCCTTTGGATAAAACCTGCATGTTTGTAGGAAGAACTGCAAGGATATATCATTTAAACACTTTAAGCTCCGCCCCAATAAAGCCCAGGAACACCCCCATTTCCATATCCTCTTAGAAAAATGAAGTAGAGAAATTTTTACTACCTTTTAAAACCTTTGATCACCATCTCCCTCACAACAATAAAAGCTACCTTCATGAGTTCCACCTAGGTTTCAGGCATTCTGCTAGGTTCATAACATACATTATTTCTGATCTTCACTAATCCCGTACAGTTCGTATTTATTTTAAAATTTTTAAAAAATTGCATTGGTCCAGGCAGCTTAGGTAATTTTGCCATGGACATAAAGCTATTAAATAATAGGGCCAAGATTTGAATAAGTTCTGATTCATCCTATTTCTGCTGAAAAATACTGCTTTTGTTTTTTCATCAAAAAGTATATTTGATCACATTATTGATTATGCATCACTTCAAGGAGAGACTATGAGAACCAGAATATATAACAATGAAATAGGAATTAATACCTTAATATAATTTGTAAACAGACTTAAAAGGATCTAGTTTCCAAAATAAGACTTCTAAAATTTTGCCTAACAATTTTTAGAAATTGACTCTAAAAATATTATCTCTGAAAAAGTTTATCCTTGCTCCTAAGTTTTATGGCTGGCAAAAGAGTAGAATTTACTTCATGGTATCTAATAGAGAATAAATGATGACAGCGGTCATTTCATTTGGGGAGATCACTACATATAAATGGCAATTATTTATTTATTTGCTGATGAATTATGAAATCATAATTTTCACAAGAAACCTCCAGGCCCTAAAGTTAAACTTTAAGAACTTGCAGCTTCTCTGAAGGATAAAGTACACCAACGCATCTGTTGGCTTCTTCCACCTATCCAAAAGACATGCCCTCAGGTAAGTCTCAGCTCCTTAATGGAGCCCTTCCCATTTTTCCAAATCATAAACCCAGCATTTCTTAACTGTACCATTTATTGGGGGCACATTTTCACAGTCATGTGTCATCATTTACTTATATAATGTATACAGGGCTGAAGAATGCAATTTATTTGAAGGAAAAAATTATTAGTATCTGTCCCAAACTTAGAGCTGTGCTATCCATTCAATACATACATTTTGTTTGGTTTTACTTTTAATTGGGATTGCATTACACAGATTACGGTGTCTCTAATAAATAAGCAGGCCTTATTCATCTCCATCATCTAAAATACCCTCCATTTTTCCCAAGTCTTTTCATGTCCTGTTCAGATACTTCCTTATCAAATTTCTCTGCTCCAAAATATGCCTTGAATGAATTTAGTCTGATTTAGTGAAACTCAACTACCACAGATCCTATCAATGGATGGAAAGTTTGGAATATGCCAATATTTAACTTTTTCTTGTCACACCTCTCTATCCAGCTAAACAGAAAAGTTCTCTGAGACCAAACTAAATCCATGTGCTGTTGATGTCCTTCCACATTATTTATGATGAAAAATGGGTGAGATGAATGAAACTCATTTTACCTTACTGGGCATGCCTTTTCTGCCCACTTTAAAGGTGAGTCAAGACTGATTATTCTTACCCAGTGTAAATGTTCTCAGAACAGACAATTTGACTTAATTTTAAAATTACTTTGTGAGATGCTGTATCAAGTGCTTGATATTGACTGTGCTCTGTGTTCTCATTCTGTAACATGATGAGCAATTTACTCTGGTGCATTTTGTTCTTTATGAGTTTACATCCTGTATAACTGAAGATAAAGTAAATGATCTCAAAGATGAGGATGTTAGAATGTTACATGGAAAGACACTTCAATTGCATATAATAGTTATAGTAAGTTTGCTTTACTTTGGGAGAACCTATTAATTTATCACTCCCCATAAGTAAAATCATTAGTTTTCGACACATACAGTTTATTGATCATTATACAAGTTGCCCTTCTTTTAAAATTCCTCTGGAGAAGTTTTGGAACTAGATGGAAGGGATGGTTACATAACACTGCAATAAATGCAACTGAGTTGTTGAATTTCAAATGGTGAATTTTGCTGTGTGAATTTCAACTCAATGAAAAATCAGACTTTGTTATGTGTAGGGTGCCCTTTCTTCTAGAAAGTGTCAATAGGCAATGTGGCAATGAATCTCAGGCAATTATTAACTATGAACTCTGAACTTATGTTAATATTTATATATATGTATATGTGTATGTATATTTATGTATATATGTAGAGACAGGGTTTCACTCTGTCTTCCAGGCTGCAGTGCAGTGGCACAATCACAGTCACTGCAGCTTTGATGTCCTGGGCTCAAGCGATCCTCCCACCTTAGCCTCTCAAGTAGCTGAGACTACAGATGCACACCACCATGCCTGGCTAATTTATTTTAAACTATTATTATTATTATTTTGTAGAAGTAGGGTCTCACTTTCTCACCCAGGCTGGAGTGCAATGATGCCATCATAACTCACTATGGCTTCAAACTCCTGGCCTCAACAATCCTCCCACCTCAGCCTCCCAAAGTGCTGGTATTACAGGCATGAGCCACCATGCCTGCCAATATGTATGTTTGAAATAGGGAAACAGGATGGCACTGAACAGTGAAAAGTATTTTAGTATATAAAACAGGACAGAAAGATAAGCCTTTGCTCATGTTCTCATAAGCCTTTTGAATTTAGACTCTCAATGTTATATCCATTTATTATATTTTTAGTGTGGATGTGCTTCTGAGATCTTTGGGATGAAGTATTCCACTGGAAATCTGTGCCAAGGATGAGGGGCAAGTGGCAGTCTTCCTGTATTATCTGTGTTTTCTTATTAAACGTGTCATAAACTCAACACCGCAATGTCAGCTCCATAAGGGCACACACTTGTGTCTGTGTCCACTGCTATACCCCCAGTACCGACAGCATGCCTGGCACACAGCAGACATTTGTTAAACAAATGCATCCAGTGAAAATGACACAGAAGAAGGATGAATAAACTATGAGAAAACATCTTTGAGACATGGGTTTTACCAGTGTGAGTAAATGCAAATAATGTTAAATTACTATGTATATTTGTATTGTGTGTGTGTGTGTGTGTGTGTGTGTGTGTGTGTGACAAAAGGAAGAAAAAACAAAAGAAACATTATCTTTATATTGACTAATCTGAGGTTATGTGGATAAATGGCCATTCATAACATTTATTAGAGCCAATATATGTTGGCTTAGGTACCTTCAGTAAATATCTTTGCTGTGTCTTATTAATATTCACTATTACATTTAAGTTCAGGGCATAGAGCAGCACAGCTCAGAGACAGCTTCTGTTGTTTGTTTTTCATTCTTCTGGCAAATGTAACAAAAATGCAAGATATAATTTTCCTTTTATGCACATATCCATGTGCAATCTTATTTAACAAAAATGATAATGGATGTATTTTAATGCAGTAAGTGTTAGCTAAAAACAAGGAAGAAATACCTTGATAACCAATGTCAGCTTAATACAAATTCAGCAAAGTTTTAAAAATGGGAGTCATTGAACTTGACTTATACTTAAGCACGAGCTATTTGTTTTAAAGTTCAGTTTAAAACTGAACTTGTCAGCCAATTCTACAAACTGGTCCCCCAATCAGCCCAGAAATGTAGTTAGTTAGTACATAGCACAGCATATCACTTATAGCAAATGCTCTAGAAATATGTGTTAATTTGATTTTTAAATCTCTTGCTTAAAATAGAGAGAAATGGTTGAGCATGAGATTATACACATGTGAAGGCAGTTATGAATTACTCATAAGAGAGTACCAGCTATTCAAGACACTGAAACTTCATATAAGCCCATGTATAAATATACTCACGCAGTATACCCAGAAAAAGCAAGCTTGAGGAAAGGGATTACCTGAAGTCTTCCACTTTTAAACATGGTTCAAATTTCTTTTCTCTTTTATTTATTTTCTTTTGAGAATGAGGCTCACTGTGTTACTTAGGCTGAAGTGCACTGACACAATCTCGGCTCCCTGCAGCCCCCATCTCCCAGGTTACAGTGCCTCATCTTCCTGGGTAGCTTGGATTACAGGCATGCACCACCATAACTAATTTTTTTTAATTATTATTTTTAGTAGAGACAGAGTTTCGCCATGTTGGCCAGGATGGTGTCAAACTCCTGACCTCAGATGTTCCTCCTGCAGTGGCCTCCCAAAATGCTGGATTATAGGCGTGAGCCACCATGCCCAGCCAGTTCAAATTTCTAAATCTGAAAAGACCTCAGCCAGAGAAAACATCTTACAATATATATTTTCCTTAGACTACACACAGTTTTTTTTTTCTCCTTGTTGCTGATCAAAATAAAAATATAAAATTGCATCAAAGGGGGAAAAAAAGGAGAAATGAAAATATGTGCAGTTTCCAGAACTGATTGAGCCTTCCTAGTAAGCCATCTAAGTGTCAAGAAACACTACTATAAGGTCATAACCCTTATGATGCTCATGGAAGCAGAAGTTTCCCATTTAAAACAAAGTGCCAATCTCATATTTTCTGCTGCTTTTCAGCCTAAGGGGTGGAAAACTTTTCTGCATTGTTATAATTTATATAACTTAAAAAGATATGAATTTGAAAGTTATAAAAATATCTTATGATTTGACCTCCAGCTCAAATGTTTCTATCATAAACCACCCAATAGGTTGCGAGAGTCAGACTTGTTTAAGAAAGGCTTGTTTTTTTTTTTTTCTCTGACGTGGTAGCTCCTGCCTGTCATCCCAGGTACTAGGGAGGACAAGGCAGGAGGATTGCTTGAGTTTAGGAGTTCGAGATCAGCCTGGGCAACATAGGGAGACCATATCTCTAAAACATAGGGGAAAAAAAAAGAGAATGGACTTGTTTCTTTTCTATTTCAGTAGAGTAAAAGAATTTATGTTTAATGCAAAGGTCAACTGTAATCTCAATAATAATTAATTTTTTTATTGATTCAATGTTGGAGCTCCAACAGGTCTTCCCCCTGAATTTTATTTTATACAAAAAGAAAAATGTTCTTGGGAGGTAAAAAATAAAATAAAATAAAAATAACCTGCTCAGAGTCACACAAAAATTAATTTCAGAGTCAGGACTAAAAATCACATCTATTTCTCCTTCTTTTTAATTAATTTCTGCAAAGGAAAACTCTTTAGTTACATACTGCCATTGCAGATACACACATTTGATTAGATAGTTTAGATTTTTCTCTCACTTGGGGCCATGAATGATTTCTGTACCAATACCTCACTTTGACCATTTCCTGGGACCATTTCTACGTGTAAGTTTACTCTTTAATAATACTCCCGTGACCACCTGTGGTCACAACTCTACTTAATGGCCCTCTTTCTGAAAGATATTCAGAGACTAATATTCATATTTGGACTCTGTTATCAAACAGCATTTATCAAACTAAGGGAGCACATAAAAAGTGTGCTCCAGAACCCAACAACTTCCCCTGAGAGCAGGCTGGAGATTTGATGTTACCTGAATTGTGGGAGCATTACAATCAGCTTGATTGCTTACATTGGAAAGTACAGAATAAAGAAACTCCAGTGGATAGGAAGGCAGTTCACCAAAACGGGAATCACTGGATATTACCGCAGTAGCTCAAACACAAATTGTATCAAATATGGTTAGTATCTGGGAATCAGGGAGCCAAGGTTACATCCTGTTTTGATTTGGAGAATTCAAAGCCTGGGACAGAGGAAGTAGTAATTAACAAGGAGCAGGAACAAGAAGGTTGCTACTGGTTGAGTTACATTATGAAATATGATGACTAGAAAATGCTTGGTCCAAATATGGTGGCTTATCAGAGAGAAACATATATTCTATTTGATAGCATAATCCATGACCTATATGTTCTTTTAAAGAATGTAATAAAATATGTATACCATGCATACTGGGATATTTGGGGGTAAAATGAACTCATGTATCCTTGAAATTTCATCAAAAAATAAAAAATTGATAGATAATTGGGTAGACATTTGCTAAGTAAATCTAGGAAAATATTAACTGTATAACCTCGGTAGTGGGCATACGTTTGTTTATCGTGCAGTTAATTCACTTTTTCTCTATGTTTGAAAATTTCATAATAAAATGCTGGAAATTTTTAAAAATTTTTTCATGATGTTTCTGGGTTCACATATAAAAAGCCTATCTTGATATACTATAGTAAATTTTATTATAAAACTTATTACCTATGCCAAATAAATAAAATAATCCACTAATTCTACATTTAGTAACCTCCACTTGGTTATTTTTTTTCTCCTCTGCATCACCCCTCCAGGCCCCACTCATCACCGCCTTTTTCCGTTTTATGGAATTGATTTTTAAGATGAATTTCAAAATTATATCAAGGGTAAAAGATTCACAATTTTAACCATTATCTAACGACAATGAGGTATCTTTAAATGGCAAACCATTAATTGCTATAGAACATCTAAGAGCTTTTTCTGCCCCCCTCCCCTCACCCAATGCCATTTATTTATTGAGAAGGGATTTTCCTTAATGCTATACTTCGATCACTGGGGAATTAGAACATTTATGAATAATGTGACTTGGGAAAATGCAAAGTTCACATTACTGAAAAAATCTGAAAGATCAGATGGTATGCTTATTCTGTTGAAATAAATAGGATCCTTGGATTATTCAGGACACTCCCATTCTGAACACACCTCTTCCAGTGGTCAACTGGTCAGTGGACCATAAGGCCAGAGGCTCCCATGTGAAGGCTGAGCTTCTCTGCTGCTGGATTTTCCACCCAGTGATTCATACAGATATTTTATAAACTATTAAATATGTATGATGCAGTACAAAGCCCCTCTAAAAGCATCTGTATTTAACTAAATCATGTCCCTGACAGCAAGAGGCATACAGAGCAATTTAACCCAGCAGGAAAAGTACTTCTTTTACAAATCACTGCAGTGCAGAGCTTCAATCACATGCTTCTTTTTGCACCCTCCCTGTACCTCCAGTAAGAAAGGAAAGGCTTAACTTAAATGGTTTGAAATTGCTTTGAGATAGGGTTCTAAAACAAAACATAAGTCTTTTGAAGTGTTTCTCAAAAATTTTACTACTGTCAGGCTTTGCCACTACTCTGTCCCTAGAGTTCAGAGAAATAACCCAGCCTCAGGTTAAGTCTCCTTAACCAGGGGCTAAATACCTGGAATTAGCTCACTCTCTTTTATGCTCTTCCAAATGTCTACTGCTGTTTGCTGACTGATATCAAAGGCATGTAAAAAGTATCAATGTACAACTAGATACC